CGTCATAAAAATTATGTACATCATACATAAATGCATACATCATATACATACATTCATGGATCATACATCACATAAATCATATACATACACACATAAGTGCATACATACAGATAAACATACATTAATACATATACATATGTGCTTCATATCAAAAGTGTACATCATATAGACACACACACACAAACCCACACACACACACACTCACAGACATGTGCACACACACACATGTACATCACATACTTATATACATACATACAAATATAATAAAATGTAGTTATCATACTAAATAATATTTCAAAGTTGATTAAATGTCGATTTGTATTCAACCTTAGATAAACTAATCCAATATTTTAAGAAATTGTATGTTACAAATTATCTACGATTCAAAATTATTAGAAAATTTGAACCTAATTCACACCACAATGATTTTATAGGCTTATAAATTTATTTTTTAATATTAATAATTTATTATCATATGCTTGAGTAAGCCAACCTTCAAATATTAAGTTTAACACTTTTGTAGAAGATAAAATAATCAACTTAAGTACTCTCTCACTACCCTTTTTAATAAATTAGATTCCCTCATTGTTTGAGAATCCCCAACAAATCAATTTGTCTAAGCTCTTTGCAATGGGGGTGGGGATGCACTGATGCCTTAAAAAAAATTATGTAATGATCTTATTTAAATGATTATAAAGGTAAAGTATTTTTTTGTAAGGTTATTATAAGCTTAATTTAGAACTAACAAAAGACAACATAAACATTTTAATGAGGTTTAGACCCTGCCTATGTCATCAATACTTAGGCCTCCAACATAAAGATTATGTTATCTTAATTTTATTAAAATAAAATTCTCTCCATTTTGGCGTTACAAAAGCCATTATAGCTTATGATTTATTGCAATGCAAAATAATAGCTCAAAAAGTTGGTTTATAAGAATATCACAGCAAATTTACAAAGTAATTTATCATTTTATAAAAAAAATAAAAAGAAAATAAAATTATAAGATCTAACTAATTGGTTGACAAAAATATAACAAAGAAAATAAAATTTAAAATCTATGTGATTGATCTTATAAACTTAATGATTGCTTAAACAACTTTAAGGCTTCAAGCAAATGATGTGAAATTAGATAAGGTCAAGCTTTAAAATGATTTAGACAAACCCTTAATTATGAATTATGTTGAGAAGTATGTAACTTAGAAGAGAATTTAAGAGAGGAGAATTGTGAAAAGATTCATTTCATTCCACGCTTAACTCACAAAAAAACTTCTTATTTATATCCTCTCAAAATATGGCAAAAATTTACATATTATATCCCCCTTAATTATCCTATAAATAACCATAGAAAGCTTTTTTTCAAAAAAGCTCCAACTCTTAGTAATTGTGCTCCAAATTAGCCCCTGATAGTTTGCTAACTGTTGATAAATTGATAAGAACTTTTAATGCTAAAAACTAAAAATAAATTCAATTATAATAAAAAATATGTATTATAACAAATCAAATATTATGTGATAGTTTGCTTGTTTTCTTAATTTACAAATTTTATTGTTTAAAGCCTGAGCTTGAGTTAACATTTTGCAATTATAAGCCTAATAACTCTAATAATTTCATAAAACTATGAAATTAATCTCAAGCTTCTTTTATATCACCAAAATCATCTAATAAAATTTTTGATCAAATTTTAACCATCTTAATTATCAAACTTCATTAACGTGCTTTGTAGTTCAAAACTCATGTAATCACTTAAACTTAAAATATGTTATTGTAAATAGCTAGAGCTTAAAAAAATATATATTTTTTACCACCTAAGTTAATTCACATCATGGGCTCATAGAATCAATAGTGTTTGATCAAATAAGTTCAAATCCCTAGCTAAAGATACTCAATGAAAAAAAAAAAAAACAATTTAACTTGCCTTTTGACTTGTAGTAAAAATTTGTATTTTATATTATTTAGGGGAAGTTCAAATAGGCCATGGATTGTGAATATTGAATGATAAGATTATGAAAATAATCGAGCTAAGAAAGTCCAGGCCAAGAACAAGCTAAAGGATGAAAAAAGTATTTTATAATTATAAATTTATATCCTATATTTTATTATTTTTTCATATTTATTTTATTTTTAGATATGATTTTGGACACTAACAAAATGGTATTTTAAAATGGAGAATTAATTATTTATGCAGATGTGCTTGGAATCTTCTTCTATTAATAACCCCTTTGCTTCCATAAAATTTTCACTTTTTTTTCTTTAAATTGGTAGTCCAAATATTCATCTATTATATATAAATAGGGCTAAGTATTTTTTGAATTTGAATGTCATAAAGAATTATAAAAAAATGTTCAATTGTGAATTAAAGCTTTTACGTACGAAAAAAAATAGTTATCTTTTGGTGCTTATTGATTTTCTTCATATAATCTCTTCCATACCTCTCCAAAATCATTCCATATATCACATTCATCATCAACCCATGAAACTAAACTAATTTTAAATTCTCATCAAATACCTTGGCCATGATTAGTTTTATTCTTACCTAGTCATGATTTTCTCCCTCTCATAAGTTCTAAAAATATTTAAAACCCTACCAAAAGTTCTAGATCATAATGATATATCTTATACTAACCTCTTACAATAATTGTATAAAATCAGTAAAAACTGACCAATTTGACCTAATCATAAATTTATGTCCTCCATGCCATGATAATTACCATAAATTTTACAATTCACTCTAGATTACAACTATGTATCAGATGATAACCATTTCTATCGATTTTCATATATCAATTAAAATGTTAAACCTACATTATTTATTTTTCCTTATAAATAAAATTATTTTGAGTAAGGAATAAAATGCCATTCTCGAAAACAACAAATTTACCTTAATTTATTTAATTTTTGAAAATTTACAATTTTATATTATGTATAAATTTAGCGCTCAAGGCCACAAAACCGATTACTATAGTAGGAAAAATTCAATCTATCAGCTAGTTCATTTCCTTAGGGTCATGAAACGCTCCCTCTAAGACAAAGATCATTAGAGACCAAATTAGAAACCTATTTTTCCTTTAAACGTAGCCTTCCATAACTCTCTAAGTCCATATTATCCTTAACTTCATATAATAGAAGTATCATTACGTTCATCCTTAATAGCATTCATGACATTTCAATGCTTCTTCATACATCATTAGTATCTTAAAGTACTGTTGCATTCTCCTATGAAAGGAGGGTAGCTTTGGTCATCCTCAATAACCTTCTTAATCTACTTATGTAAAACTCATAGGATATACTTGAATTAACTTGATCTTACATAAGTTTTATATTAATAAATTCTATGAGTTACAACTGGAGTGTCACTTTTTAATTCATATTATTAGCATTAAAAAAAAAATTCTTCAGTCATGTAAGGCTTTTATTTTTGAATTTATAATCAAATTAATATTATTTTTCTTGATCACTATATTTTACTTCTCTGATTATATATGTGCTTTCATTTATAGTTAAGGTAACCATATTATTTTCTCTACAAATATGATCCCTTTCATGCAGTTATGAAAATGTACATATGATAGTTGGGTGGTTTAATATATGTACATCAATGAATTTCTAAAATAGACCATACAAACGTTTCACCATACCAGTACACCTTTCCCAACCCTTTAAACAATTTAGCTTTAGCTCAATAGGCATCTCAACTTTAAGTACTATATAAATAAAAGTTTTAAGAGTTTATTTATTGCAGATAATTTAATAAAAAGCATAAATATAAAATTTATAAAAGTATAAACAGACATGGTGTGCTTTATATTAAAGATTTTATGTGTTGAGAACAAAAGAAATGCTTCCAATCAAACTTAAGGAGCGGGGAATGATAAAAATTGTATACAAAAGAAGTCATTTAGGGTATGTTTGGGGCATCTGCAGCTTATTAAAAAGCAGTTGTGAAACTGCTGAATAATAATCTGATGCTTAAAAAGCTGCGGTAACTATTATAATTTTTTTTTTTAAGTCTGACCACAGCTAGAAAGTTGACACTGCACTTAGCAAAGAGTAGTGGGAAAACGCAGATTTCAATGGCTGTTTTTTGAAATAGACAAAACGTAGTTTACCCAAATAGACAAAACTACAGTGCGGTGCCACGCCGCTACCGCGCTGCTACCCCAACAGAGCCTTAGTCAAATTTGCTGATAAGCTAGGTCCATAAAAAATGATAAAATATTTAAAAAATAAAGATGAAAAAAGAACATAAATTGCATAATAATCATTAAGATGTTAAGATGAGAATCAAACACACCATGGATTCATGTGTATGCCACAAAATTCTTATATAGTCAAGCATCTAACACGTAATCTCTTATGCTTATTTATGTATCATTTTAGTGTAGTGCCTAAATCATATGATACTATAGTTTAAATAAGTTAAATTTAGTGATATTTTAGGGTCTGTTTGGGGCAGGTGTAGCTTATTGAATTGATAAGCTAGATGCGGTGACTATTACAAATTTTTATTTTTTTTTTTGCTTTTAATTTTTAATTTTTTGCTTTTTTTTTTTTTTGATTTGTTTATGTTTTGATTTTAAAAAAAAACTTATTTGGCGTATTTGATTCTTGTTTGGGATCTTTTTTTTCATTTTTATTTTAATTTTTTATTTTAAAAATATGTTTGTTTAGTTCATTTTTCTTTCATGCATGCCTTTTTTCGAAAATAAATTAACTTATTTTGGAAATAACTAATCATATTATAACATACCAAACATGTTTCGTTTTAAGTAAAAACATAAACAAAAAAAAATAAAAAAATAATAATAAATAAATAAATTGTATACCAGATGTTTGATCAGATGATCCTAACAATGATGTTGATCATGCTAACCTCGTGGGAATAATTAGCTTACCAGGAATCCAATGCCTTTCTACGGCCCTTTTAAATTATAGAAGCCGTCCACATTATGTGACCAACTTATTTCCTGCATCGCAATCTGCAACTATAAATAGCCATAAATGGAGAAGAAAAACTCAGAAAAATATTAAGATAGCTTACAAGTACGTACCCAGCACAGAAACTACATTAATTGCTCGCCATGGCTGCGGAAGTTGGTGGATGGGAGGAGGTGCAGACAGCAGACGCTTACGAGAAGCAGGATGATGCTTCTAACACTGTAAGACATTTGAGTTGTATTGTTGTTGACATTATTTTTTGTAATACTGTTACCATGATGTCGATTGTAAACTTGCAGCACAATTAATATCATGTGAGATTATGAAATATGAGAAATTTAATCACTTTTATCATAATAATAATAGCTTGTAAATAATGTTGTGCATATTTTTTCTGCCTGCAATGGATCAACCTTCAAAAATTATAATGATATACAAAGTTATACTTTATTATGTGGTAAAATGTAAATCAATTAATGCTTGTAAAAGCTTTATAGCCTTTTAATTTGTTCCCAGTGATAGGTAGGCATATAAAACAAAAGCCAGATTTGGTTCTTCATAATCATTGGAAACAAAGAACAAATCCTTCAGACCAATGTTTGATGATGAGATATATAAGAATTAGGCACTCAGATTTGTGCTCGAATTTGAAGGATATTGATTGAAAAAAAATCTACATTAGTTTATGGAACTATGTTTTTTTTCCCTTGATTTACAAGTGTAAGTAAGGGTTTGCTTTAATTATGGAGTTTCATTTCCTGCAAAGACAAGCCCTTGTAGTTAATTACATTTCTAGGGTTGTGAGAGCTAGAGAAAACTCTGATTAATGCAATGAGTTAGGTTACCAAGAGATTGGACTTTCATGGTCGGAGCCTTGGAGTTAAAATAAAGATCAAAGTTGGAAATATTTAGCTCATAAGGATAAGACTTGTAGTTTTATAAGACTTGTAGTTCTATAATGGTGTGCCATTGAAAAGGCCCAAGTGAAGGGATTTAACCATCCATTGGAGGAGTTTTATTTGGAAATGGTGGTCAAAGAATTGGGAGTGACCTAAATTTGAATTGATCAGGTGGAGTTACAAGATGACTTATGCAAACTTGATTTGACTTACTCAAATAATTGGAACTCCAAAACTAAAGGTCAGAGAAGGGTGAGAAGGATTTCTAGATGGAAGTAAAACCCCTAGACTCTATAAGAAATCCTAATGGATGGAGTAACCTTGCCCTAAATTCACAAGAGCGGAATAGGAAACATAGCCTAAAGAGAAAGTAGGGGAGAATAGTTTAAAAAGCTGCCACCGCACCTAGATAAGTGCGGCCGGCGTGAAAATGCTGTTTTCAACGTTTTCAAAACGCATAACCTGTGAAAGCACAATTTACTTAAACAGGCCAAGAGCATTTTCAAAACACCACCGCATGAAATAAGCTGCCCCAAACGGGCCCTCAATGTAATATAGAGATTTGAGTGTTGTATAAATAAATATAAACTTTTAGGTGTTCGGTGTTAAAATACACAAGAATTTGTTGGCATGAATGTAATTTATTTTAATGAGAGGATAGCAGCTATACTATTAGAATGGATTGATCAAAACCTAATTGAAAAAAGCTATTTAAAAAATTTAAATACAGTAAAAAAAAAAAACTAAAAATAACACAAAATAAAGGCAACGTGCCCAAAAAATAAAAAAATAATAATAAATAAATAAATTGTATACCAGATGTTTGATCAGATGATCCTAACAATGATGTTGATCATGCTAACCTCGTGGGAATAATTAGCTTACCAGGAATCCAATGCCTTTCTACGGCCCTTTTAAATTATAGAAGCCGTCCACATTATGTGACCAACTTATTTCCTGCATCGCAATCTGCAACTATAAATAGCCATAAATGGAGAAGAAAAACTCAGAAAAATATTAAGAGAGCTTACAAGTACGTACCCAGCACAGAAACTACATTAATTGCTCGCCATGGCTGCGGAAGTTGGTGGATGGGAGGAGGTGCAGAGAGCAGACGCTTACGAGAAGCAGGATGTTGCTTCAAACACTGTAAAACATTTGAATTATATTCTAATTTTAGTATTATTATTTGTATTTTATTACAATTAGGATATTATTTGCATGAACAGGAAAGCGAAGGATTGGGCCCTGTTTCAAGAGAATCCAAAGAGAAAATGGAGGGTAAAGTGAAGTATAATGGAGAGGAAAAGCAACAGGACGCCTCTGCTGTTGTTGGAGATGATGAAGGAGATGAAGAGCTTCATTGCCGTCATCACAGTTCTGATTCCGACACCAAATCCAACGGCTCTGGAAATAACTCCGACAATAGCTCTAAATCAGCCCCTCAGGTGCTACTAAATCTTTATTGCTTTACAATTAATTTTTATAAAAAAATTATAAGGATTTAATTATTCGCTCAAGAAATAAAAAAAAAATTAAAATGATTGAGCATTAAAAATAAGATGGTGTTGAGACCTGAATGTTGGCCTTTAAAAGAGAAGTATAAGAAAAAGTAAAGAATTGCTTGGCACTTAGAGACAAAAAGCGAAATGGATATATCTGTGATAGGGTTGGTGTAGCTCTAGTGACAGATAAGATTAGAGAGAGTCATCTTAAATGGTTTGGTAACATTAAACGTCGACCATCTGATGATCCTGTTAGGAGAGTGTATGTTTTAAAATTGACTTATGTTAAGAAAGGCTGAGATAGATCTAAGAAGACGCTGGCATATTGTATAAATAATGTTCATAATATATTTGAATCATATGAAAATATGATACACAATAGAATGCAATGAAGAAAAAGGATTATGAAGCTGAGTACATTTAGTGGGATAAAAATTTGTTGTTGTTGTTGTTGTTGTTTTTGTTGAATATTTAAAATAAATTTCTCCTAAATCAAATAAATTGGAAAATAACTAATTATAATTTTAATTTTTTATCTTCTCTAATTCCAATTTCGTTTCATTACTTCTCTTACAACCTGTTGGTACCAAACAGTGTAATTCTAAGGAGAAAGCTATGAAGAAGAAACAGAAGAGAAGGTCTCTGAAAGGGAGATCAAAGAAGAAAACAACTGAACCGAAAGATGAAGACGAGCTTCAATACCAGAGCGGTGATTCAAACAACAATAATTCTGGTGCTGATTCTGATAATAGTACTAAATCCAACTCTAGCTCTAAATCTAACTCTGGTACCAAGTCTGGCTCAAACTCGGTAATTTCCATCATTTTTCTCAATGCTTTATCAGCAGCAACGTACAGTAATGGATTCTGACAAGTTGAAAAAATATTACATAAGAAATCTGTGGTTAGAAATGATATATATACATGTACAACTAATAAAACAGCAGTATGACTTCATTATCATCTTGTAATTTAACTGAAAATAAGAATTTTCTTATAATTGCATGCTCTTGATGTACTGCAACACCATCATTTTATCTTGTGCCTATTTATAACAAAACATAAATTCACCTCACCATTGTCAGGGGGAAAAATGCTATATTATACTTTTAACATAGCACCCAATTCATGCATTTACTTATCTCATACCAAAACTTTCATTTTTACATACAATTTTCAGGTAAAAATCAAAATTCAAAAGTGAAGTAGATTTTGATTTCATTGATTTTGACCGATCCGTTGTATTCTAAGAATTTAATAGGGAACATTTTAATTTTTTGTTTTTTAATTTGTTTTACATACATATTTATTTAATATATTTTTCACACGTTTTTAATTTCTATTTTTAAAATAAATTAATACTCAAATATGTAAAGATCATTTTAGTATTTTTAAAAATAATTAAACATGTTATAATATATTAAATTAACTTTATTTCAAATTAAAATAAATGAAATAAAATCAGAATTAAAAAAAGAAAAATTTAACTCAAAAGTGATTCTTAAGAGCAACTCTGGTTTCCAATAATTAGCTCATTCATATTTAATAAGGGTCTGTTTGGGCGGCGGTGCGGTGCAGTGCCGCGCCACGTTTTTCAATTGTTTGGGGTTGTGGTTCCGCCGCGGCTTTTCTCGTTTTAACCAAAACACGTGTCGTCTTGCCGACCCAGTGAACCAGCATCCCCATTTGGCTTCTTACCCCCGTGCCCTCTATTATCTTGCCCTAACTAGAATTTTTAGGCTTTACCCCGTGCTCGACCTGGATGCTGCGGTCTTCTACTCCTCTTCTTCCTCTTCTCCGACGTTGCTCATGCTACCTGGTACTTCTTCCTTCCCTTCTCCCTTGTTTCTCTTATTGCCTGGCTCCTCTTCCTTGTTTTCCTCTTCTATTCTCCATCGGTAAGAACTATTTCTTCTCTAACAAGTGTGAATGCTTATTCATTGGATTTATGATGTTAGATGTGAATGTTGTTCGGTGGTATGGATGTGTGGTTGTGGTTGCGTGGCTCAAATTTGTTGGCTCCAATTTGGTGTGGATGTGGTTGTGTGGATCTGTTATGTGAAGTGTGCATCTTATTTTTTCTATTGTTCTGAAGTAGTTTTTTGCTTCTCAGGCTTCAAATATATTAATATGACGGTTATGTTGCAAACAACATTCTTGCATAGGGGCATAATTATCATTTATCCAGGAACAACTACCACACAGCTGTTTCCAAACTGTAAAAAAAACAAACAACCAGCTTTCCCACAGCAGCTTTGTAGAACAGCTAAGCTGCAGCTGATAAGTTGCAGCTGCCCCAAACAGACCCTAAGGCTCCACGGTTAAGTTCATTCTATTAATTACAATAAATTCTTGTTTGCTCTTTCATGTGGATGCACGCGCACAAAAGCACTAGCAACATCTTTTTTTTTTCTTTGCCTATGAATACAGTTTTATATTTGATTTTGTTTCATGATGTCATAACTTATTTTTATTCAAGCGTTGTATTCAAAGGAATATATCTTATGTCGTTAACAGATCATAAGTGATAAAGGTAGAAACCTATTTATACCATCGAAGTAGGGCACTAATGACTCCTCAATATTAATCAAAATAAAATTCTTATATTCTAATATAATCTTCCTCATGTAGTATTCTTGCACGAGTGTCTTGCTCTTAATTTTCTTTTAATTTTAACACATTCAGTCGGATGAAAATGACAAAACTACCGCAAGCCCTGCAAATATTGCTGAAGCAAAAGAGGCCATCAAAAAAAAGATAGACGAGAAAGTGATTCATATAGCAGAGAAATCAAACAATATAGATGCAATTGATCGTGATAATAACAACAAAGGAGAAAATAAGATTGAAGGTGATGATAAGAAGAAAAGGAATGACAAAACTATGATTGAAGGCAACGAAAAGGTCATAGATGATAATGATTTGGCTCTTATCTCTGGCTATAAATCTGGTGACTCAAAGTCTGACTCGGAATCAAAATCTGACTCTGACTCAAAATCTGACTCCAACTCTAAGTCTGACGACTCTAAATCTGACTCGTCCTCGAAATCTAGTTCAGCCAATAAGTATGACTCAGATTCCAAACCGAGCCCGGACTCCAAATCTACTCCTGACACTTCGGTAACAAAATTTAATCATACTGAAATTTTTACATGCGATTTTTATCTTTTCATGTCTTCCATTATGATTAGAACAACTTTTTTTTTTATAAACTAGTCACCTACTCATAGACTAAACACTTTTCTTAGGAATCTTGATGTTATATAAGTCAAGTGCCATATACTAATTTTCTCCATGAAATTCAGAAAAGAAAATGGAGTTCTTAATTAACTTTATTTCAACTCCAATATTTTAGTAATCTTTATCATTTTAGCCTATGTTTTTTAACATTGTAGTTTGAGTTTCTAAAATATCATTTATAAAAAATTAATTTGTCCATGACATGAATGATTATACTATCTATCCGGAACCTAGAAATAGTTTCAAACATACTAACTTAATTTATGATACTATTGCTGATCCAGTAATTTTAGTAAAATTTAGGCTTCTTGGGATGAAATTGTAAGTTAAAGTTCATTATTTTTAAAGTAATTAGCATCTTTGTGCTGATATGCAGTGTTAGTGAACCGAAAACAATTAACAAATGCGAGCTACTTCTTTCTTAAACTTAATCTTCTGATTGTTAGTTTTAATGTATTATCATGGAAAGATTAGTAGACGTAACATAACTTTTATCTCACTTTTTTAATGCTAAATCATTATTGTATTATCTTCTCTTTGTAATGCAGTCGAGTAAGAAAAAGAAGCCTGGAAGCGCAGGGGAAAGGAGAAAGAACCCAAATAGGAAGAAGAAAAGGGGACTAAAGCTGACTACATAAATAAGAAGAGTAAGTACAATGATGGGGCAAAGACTGAGGCCATCATCTGGAAGTTCCTCCACTACAAAGGGGGAGAGTTCTTTGTTCGAAGCTGTTACTACTTGTACTTTTATTGTGGATAAAATAAACGAGAGTAAGCATATGGATATGAGTATACTTATATATATATAAATTTTCAAGTATATATAATGTTTGATATGAGTATACTTATATATATATATATAAATTTTCAAGTATATATAATGTTTAATAAACATAATTAATATTTAATGCTTCTTCAAGTTGCATTAACATCTATAATATCACAGAAACATGTCAGAAATGTGCAGGAATGTGTCAGGAATGTGCAATCAAATGTCAGAAATGTGCAGGAATGTGACAGAAACAGGCTTCATCTATATCCTATGCATAATCATCACAGAAACATGTCAGGAATGTGCAAATATGTCTCATTTATTAATTATGATATCGTTAGAAAATTTTCAAAAAACAAGTAAGATTTGTCTCATATAGTTTATTGAATTTTAAGATAACATATTATGTTCAATCAAATGATGACAACTAAATCTAGAGATATCATGTGGATTCTCATGCAATTGTGCAAGTGAGTTAAGTCCATAACCAAACTTCATCATTAGTTTCAAGGTGCACTATTCTTAATATTTAATCAAGTTTGATCTAACATCAAACGTTGTTTCCTTAAGTATTCGTATACGTAGAAGAATACTTATTTAATAGCTAGGAACTATAGTAATGCTTATTTTGTGTACTACATTAGTTTGGAGATTTATTCATCTAGAGATGAAAAAAATCAGAGCTTTATTTATACAGAGATAGAATAATAGAAATTTGTACGAAGACTCAAGCGACCCGTGCAAGATATCAAGTCTGGTACATGTCTATGACTTAAGCTTTATGAGAAAGTGGTTTAAGATTGTTTCTTACAAAGCATGACAAGGAGAGAGCAACACAATAAGTTAAAATATGTCAAAATATTATTATTATATTAAAATTAAAATTTAATGTTATTCAGTTTAATTTAATTTTTAAGTTTATTTTGTAATATTATTTGACATGATAATTTGATTATTGAAATGCATTTAGAGCCATCAAACTTGTTTTCACAGATTATGAGAACTATTCATTCATATACTACTATTAAGTTGCATAGTATGTTATAGATCAAGCATTACTGTCGAGATCATAAAAAGCAAGCGACATTCATCTAATATGATTTTGTTTTAATTAGGCATCATAATATGTTAAATCAAAATATTGATATAACTGATCATATGATGTGAATCACACATTATGGCGATCAAACAAATTGATGTGTATAATTTTGTACAATTAATCAATTTCTTAAGAAATATTAAATTTGAATGAATTCTTAAGTATTTTGATTAAATATAATAAGTTTTGGAAAATAAAATTTTTATATATTTACCAAACATTTTGTAATAGTGCTAATGAAGGTATGCTTAAGAGCTTCATAAGAAAAATAATTAATGCAAAACTTATGAAAAATGTTAGCTTGTAATGTAAGTTCTTTCAAGAGAAGTTAGATAAAGATTTAAAGTAATGATCATCATCTCAAAATAATTATTGGTTTTATTATGAAGTGATGTTTCTCATCTTATTGTTTATACTACTTTAAATAGTTTATTATTATGTTAAACTTGTAGTCAATTTTTATAAAAGATTATAAAAACCTTAATAATAGGTTATAGTTATTGTGTGTCACCTCTAAGAGTGAAGGAAAATTTAATTTGATTAAAAAAAATTTTATTACCCAATTAAATGTGCTAGGATTGGTAGGTTTCTTATCAAGATAGGGAATACTTTAATTGAGTGATGAGGATTAAGAGTAGTAGTTTCCACTCCTTGAAAATGATATGATCAAGTGAAGAGAATTAGGAGTTGCTTTCTTTCACTTTTAAAATGAAGATTTATCTACCTAGCTACTCGTAGAGTGAAAAAAATTAATTTATGATATTTAGCTTTAGGTTGAATCCTAAAATGGAGTTGAGCTTGGAGTACATATAGGCTAACAGTTGTTGAATCATGCACAAAAATATAAGTCATTTTTCAATTACTCTAAAATTTATTTACTTATTTTTGTACATTTACTTTAGTTATTAATTGTATCTTTATCGTAATGTGAAAAAATCAACTTGAATAATGAGTCTTTAAAAAAATATTTTGTGAATATATTCTTTTTTTTAATTTGTATACTAATTCTTCTTGTACATAGTTATTTTATATCCCTATCATATTATTTTCTCGGCTCTTTTTAAAGACTCAAGTTGTTAGCTTGTCTATTTATATGTCATCGTATAATTATATTATTTGAATAAATCTCCCTCCCAAATTATATCAATGATTCAAAGATGAGAGGAATAAAAAATAATGATATGAGACAGTAAATGAACAAACAAATAAAAAGAAACAAATGAGAGATTTATATATGGGTAAACCTCGTGTGATGGATCGAGAATATACGTCTAAACAGGATCAAATCGAAGCACCTTGAAACATAACATCCACGAAGAGAATCCCTACATAAGCCACCCATAACCAGAGAACCAAATATGACATTTTTGTTTTCGGTCTCATAGAGGAATGGGTATCCCTCTGGTTAATTACATTCTGGGGATACCCAAGAATACTCTCGATAAAAGGAGTTTTGATTATATTAAATGAATCTGGAGAATAGGTCATCAATGGATGGTTATTCCGTATGGAAACACCCCGATGTTTTAAAGCTCTCGCTAATTCACATGACCGAAAGTGAGTCTCTCACATCCTAAATGGCTAGCGGCTCGTTTGCATCAGAACCTACTAAATAACTAAAATTATCTTGACGGGGACATCCCTATAGATCAGAGTAGGGGTGTAAACGAACCGAACACGAACGAACAAAGCTTGTGTTCGTGTTCGGTTCGTTTAAAATTTAATTTGTTAACGAACGAGCCGAACACGAATCGAACACAAGCTGTTCGCAAACGACGAGCCAATTTGACATGACATCCCTTAATATAAAAAAATAATATTATATATTAGTTTAATAACTTATATTATATAAATATTCAATATCTATATTAGTATATTACTACTATAGTATATTAATATATTATTATTATTATTATTTTATTATATATTTTATATTATTTTATATTTCAAACAATAACGATTCGAACACGAACGAACGCATCACTGTTCGTGTTTGGTTCGTTTAACTAACCGAACGAAAAAAAATTTGTTCGTGTTTGTCTCGTTTACTTATCGAACGAATCGAACACGAACTCATTGACGAACCGAACACAAACTGTTCGCGAACACCGAGCTTTTTTGACAGCCCTAGATCAGAGCTCACCGGGTCATAAGAGCAGATAGTGAATCACCGTATCCCAAATGGGCGACAACTCATCAATAATCAGGTCGTTAAGATGATATCAACAAAGTCAAAAGGAGTGACAAGGCTCAAAGGGGCTTAGCAAGAGAAAGGGTGGAGTAATCCTAAAAGATAGAGGTAGCGTGGTCAGGGTATCATAGAGTTGTCATTCTGATATGCAAAAAATATATGCATTTTTAGACCCATATTTTATACTCAATTTTGGTGATATTGCACTTTAATGGAAAATATTTTTATGTTTTCTTGCAGGTTGTTAATTTTTTATTTTTTAAACTTGAAGCAAAAATTTTAAACTTGAAGCAAAAAGGATGGAATTTAAAGTCAAAATGGCGTTTTTGAAGAAATACTCAGCGTCGACGACACCAGATTGGATGCCGATGGAAGCAGCTTCGACGACGTAGACTTACAGAACAGAAAGTGGATTTTACTCAGCGCTGACGGCGCTAGAAGCAGCGCCGATGAAATCGTTTAACAGAGGGCAGCGAATTAAATTATGGACCACTGGCACCGATGGCGCCAGAATGGGCACCGACGACGCCAAGGTCGGTTCAGACCCTGTTTCTAGAAGATTCGACAAATTTGGATGCTTTTTGAAGGGTTTTTGGATGCACCTATTGGAGAACCGACTCTAGACACTATTTGGGGGACGAAATTGATCAGAAAAGGGGCTCCTCCTCATTCCTCTTTGCTTTTTTTTGCCACACCTAGCCTCCATACACTTTTTCCATCTTCATTTCACCACCATTCAGGAGTCTATTAGTGATTTTTCTTTAAGAGTTTAGAGTTTTTGTTGTAAGATTAACTGTGAATTCTTCTCTGAGAGTGTTGGAGAAGGAGAAAAGTGAGAGATTTCTTCTTCATACATTTCTTAGGAGAGGCTACAAGAGATTTGCTTTGAGAAAGAGTTTCAGATAAGTGTTATTTGTTTATTAGTGTTGTATGAACTTTCTTTTATATATGAAATTTGTGTTTTGTTGTATCTTTCTCATGAAGTCTGAGTAGTTTCCTTTATGTTTCTCCTTACTCTGAGATATGGTGAAATGAAGAGATAATATAGATGTATCAATATTAAAATATAAAATAAAATGTGATGATTTTTCAACTCCAAACTTAATTTACTTTTCGATCTTGCCAATTGAATTATTAAAATGTGTTATGAAATGTATGATCCGGGAAATGGAGTATGAATTGGAGATTTTAGGGTGACAGACTAAAATCCCTAACTCGGTCTTAGTGTTTAAAAATTAAAGCGAAAGTTAGCCTTCATGTGAAGGGAAGTGGGAGTTATGGAGTGGGAGCCAGTATCCTCCTAGCCTAGCCACAGATTTACTTGAGATTATCCAATGATTTTCTATAACACTGTATCAAGGTAGAGAATTAAAGTTGCTCATATTTGGCACAATACATATTAAAACCATTTATCTCATCTCATTTTATCAAAATTTCATTGTAGTGAGAAAGATGCTTTTTCACATAAGAAACCTTCATCACATAAACATAGTTTAATAGTTTAGTATTTACTGTTTAAACTTTACATTTCAGTTTTGTTAATAGTTAAATAATTTAGTTTTGATAATATCTCAGCATTAAAAATTAGTGACGGTAATTTTGTTTTACTTTCTGTGAATTTCCTAGTAAATTTATCATTTCAAATTTAAACCTTACCCTTGGGATCAATATTCGGGGCATAAATAGAAAGTCCTTTATTACTTGATAACGATACATAACCTGCATAGAATCTCAA